TTTTTTTTTATAAATACTTTTTTAAAATCTTAATCGCACAAGCAAAGCAGGTACTTGTCGAGAAAAAATTGCGGAAGAAAGTTATGATTTATTTTCACTTGTTTTTTTTGTGTGTGGTGGGAGGGGGTATAATTAAATTTCAATTTCACTTATTTCTATCTATTTTTATAAAATTAAATCTAATTTTAACAAATTAACAAGCGAGGATCGTAAATATATTATTGTTTCTCTTGAAAAAAATTAAGTTATTTAAAATAAAAAAATAAAAATAAAGTTTTACTTTTTATAGTTTTTCATTTTTGTTTGTCTCTAAAATTATTTTAGTTCAAAGCCCAAGCGAAACTCAATCGAAGGTCCTGTGAAATAAAAATGACAAATATAGAAAAACGGAAACTGCTGTTCAATAAATACTTTTAAGTTTTAAAACGGTTTACTTTACCTTAAAACAAAACAAAAAAAAAATTATTATGTTTAATATTTAAATCTTCAACTTCTATAACGAAGAAAAGAAAAAAAAAATGACAGCTTTTTTTTCCTTTCTTTTTTAATTTAAATGATTTAAAATTTAATAAATTAACAAACGTCGGTGTGTTTTTATTTTAAATAACATTGACATTATTAAATTTTAAGAATTTTTAATCAACCATGGAAGTCAAAAAAATAACTTCTACGATCAATTTTTTTGTTTTATTCTCTTTAAAATCGTTCACATTATTGAACTTCTTTTTTTAAAAACTTTAATATGCTATTAAAAAAATAATATGCATTTTTTTTAACTAAATTCTTTGTTAAACTCTGTCTTTAGCGGATTAAATAAAATTTCTCCAGAAATAAATTTTCTTTTTCTTTGTTGTTTTTTATTTAACAACGTGTTACACACTAGTTAATTTCAGAAATATTTTATTTAAAACCAAAAAAAAAATAAATTTCTTTTCCGAGTAATGATTAATATTATTAAATAATCATTCTCATCCATACAGAAAACTGTTTTGGTATGACAAAAACTTTTCATTGATTTTCTTTTTGGAAAAAGTAGATTAATTTTTCCGTAACACTCGAATTTAAAATGCGTAAAATTAAAAAGTTTCATGACATTGAACAAATTTTGGAATATGTACATCTTGCTTGAATGACGTAATAAATTTTAAAAAAATTGTTTCTGTTGCTGTGGTAATTTGACAAAACATCTTCACACATGCCGTATAGTTCAGTGAAGACCAGCCTCAACCCATTCCTCCTTTTCGGCCTTGTGCCATAATTGTATTAATTTACACATTATTACAATAAATCTCACCGTCTTCACAAATGTCGAATGGAAATGGCTCTTCAAACGCCGTCCTAAATTTATTTTAATTTTATTTCTCTGACTTACTGACTAGATTCTGACATCATATCATCATATCATATCATACTTATTATAAAACCCAGATTGTGTGTGTGTGTGTGTGTGTGTGTGTGTGTGTGTGTGTCTGTACGTTTATATATTGGATCGGATTTCCTACATTTTTCAACCGATTTCAACAAAACTTCACAGGACTACGTAAAATTACCTTGCTGTGGTTCTGACAGCACCAAAAATTGGAAAAACACAATTGTTTTTGCACAAAATCAGTTTGAAAACACGATTAAGCATCATTGTCGCGAGAATGAAAAGCAGACAACTCATATCGAGTTATACTTATTATAAAACCCAGGTTGTTTGTTTGTGTGTGTGTGTGTGTGTGTTCGTTTATATAGGAGATCAGATTTCCTACATTTTTTCAACCGATTTCAACAAAACTTCACTTTTTTTTGGCAGGTAGTGTTTCTTATTGTCTTGCACACTTTTTTCTTTGTTTTTACATTCAGAATGCTTTAAAAATTCCATTTACAAGACAATTGTTTATAATAAAATTCTATTCAATCGGTAGACTCATAACGATTGAAAACAATGTTTTTGTTTGAGTTTGGGTTTGACCAATTCGTAAAAAAACCCAAAACAAAACAAAAAAAAACAAACATATTAAGACATGCGTATCCATCAACCTTAAACAATAATCTTTGTCAATTTTATTTTTCAGTCTTTATGATGGTCGATACTTGATCTATCTCTTACTGTTACATCCCCGAGCAACGCCGGGCTCTACTGCTAGTTTTTAATAAAATGCAAGTATTACATCATTTTAAGATATGATATTGTTCTTTCATCGATAAAATAAATTATTGATGAAATTTTTTTTTTTAATCGGAATCATCCCAAGCAAGGCAAATGCCATTAAGACACAAGGGGTTACACTACAGGGTGGAGAAGAATTAGGAACAGAAACATTAAAGATGAGCAGAAAGAGAAAAGAATAATCAGGCGGACAGTAGATAGCGATTGACATGGCATTTACATTCTGCAGATTAAAGTTGGCTGGAAAGCTTGGAGCCAGAAGAGAGTTCCACAAGCGAGTAGTACGAGAAAGGAAACTGTTAGCATAGAGTTTACAGCTACATCTAGCCAGCTTAGATATAAATTGATGAGATCTCGACACCACAAAAAATCTAGGTACCATAACGAAGAGCGATATTTATTTGTAAATATTTACAAAATGTGGCACAAGGCCAAAAAAGGGAATGGGGGAAAAGGACGGTCTTCTTCTGTCTTAACGTTAAACTTAGCTAGCCAGAAACACTGACCCAAACGTACCACACTATTCCTAACATCAAAACAACACATTCTTACCTTTCTTACTACATTCACCATAATACCTCATTGTCTCTATGAAAGATCTATAGTGAAGAGCTCATCTGAACAATTACCATGAAAGTATTTATAGAAAAAGCAAAGTGAGGCAACCTTACGGCAATGTGCAAGTGACTGAAGTCTAGCGGTAAGATCAGTCAGTACCAATAATATTGCTGCTTTTTCTTTGTATCTTATCAAGGAGCTCAAGGTAAATAGCAGGGGAACCGGGCCATATATAGCAGCAATATTCTATGCATGGACGAATGGTAGACTTATAGATATGCAAGATAGACTCTGGAGAGAAAAATTTTCTCGCTCGACACAGTGATCCGATTTTCTTAGCATCTGACCTAACAATTGATTCAATATAGCCTTTCCACTTCATGCCAACTGAGAATGTTAACCCGAGAAGGCGCAAAGTATCACTTTCCTGGCGGTTAGCATCAGCCATGCTGATGGAGGTCAGAGAGGGATCTCTAAGATGATTAATGGAGAGAAATCTAGTTTTAGAGGTGTTAAAATTGACAAGCCATCTTTTGCCCCAGTTAACGACGGTCTTGATGTCGTTTTCTACTCTCAGCTGCCATTTTGACCTTGTCTGACTGATCAACCTTTACTATCGAGGCAGGAGTAAATGGTAGTGTCGTCAGCGTAGATGCCAAGTTGAGAACTGATATCATCGGGAAGGTTGTTAATGAAAATTTAAAACAGGGCAGGACCAAAGATGAGGCCTTGGGTGACACTCACGTTAGTACGAATGGATGTAGACGAGTAGCCGTTCAGATTAAATAACCCATTGAGTTTAATATGCCATAAAACGAGACAATGAAAACCAAACTTATCAATTAAAATTAATTTTGAGCAATATTAATAAGATTATAAGAAGTCTCATAAGGACAGACTACGTGCGTCTTCCAGTGAATGAACCATGTAGATCATATCATAGGAATATCTATCTTTAAACCTCATGGTCTGACGCCACAGAATAACAAGCAAAGAACTGAACCAAATAACAGAAACCACATCACTTAGGGATTTTCGACAGAAGCAATAATTAAAATGGCCAGATCAGGACTAGTAATATTGCTGATTCTTATTTGGATCTTATCAAAGAGATCCAGGAAAATAGCAGAGGCACCGGACCATATATGGCAGCAATATTCTAAGCATGGACGAATGGTAGACTTATAGATATACAAGATAGATTCCGGTGAAAAAAATTGTCTTGCCCGACAGAGTGAAACGACTTTCTTAGCAGCTGATCTAGTAATGGATTCAATGTAGTCTTTCCACCTCATATCAGCTGAGAACATTACCCCTAGAAGGCACACTGAGTCACTTTCCTGGAGGATAGCATCAGCCATACTGATAGAAGACATAGATGGGCTTCTCAGATGATTAATGGAGAGAAGTTTAGTTTTGGAGGCGTTAAAATTGACAAGCCATCTGTTGACCCAGTTAACGACGGTCTTGATGTCGTTTTGTACATCGGCTGCCATTTTGATTTTGTCTGGCTGATCAGCGTTATTATCGAGGCAGGAGTAAATGGTTGTGTCGTCAGCGTAGATACCAAGTTGAGAGCTGATACCATAGGTAAGGTTGTTAATGAAAATTTTTAAAAAAGCGTAGGACCAAGTGGGAGGCTTATACTTAAAATCCAGAAGAGGCAGCTAAAGTTTTGGGGGCAAATAATGAAGCCTGGAGAATATGATACTCACGAGTCGAATAGAGAGAAAGAGAGACAAGGGAAAACAACGCGTGACATAGTTGGTGGGCTTAAGCAAGTGGATGAGAGAACGTGGTCTGGGAGAGGTTGCAGAGGGAAGGAACTTGTTGAGAGCTGCAAGGGATAGAGGGAGGTGGAGAGCCATGATCGCCTACGTCCTGAAAGGACATGGCACATAAAAAGAAAGATGGGGCGCTGCTAATAGAAGAGGAAATATACAGAAAGAGCTTCTGCTGAGTTAGGACTCTTCAAATTTTTTCTCATTTCTCAAAAATGCACTTGTGCCCTTTCAGAGGCCAGCGGACGATTTGATGGCATATAACACCTCCCCAACTCAATGCATTATAAATTTCACAGACTGAGTGTCCCAAAATTTTGACCTTGTGCCACACTCTAAGCCCTACTCCTAAAATATCTACAAGGATGCCTACAAGAAAGTAAGTATTGTATTGAGTTATATTTTCACAGGAGTGCTCACTGCCGTGACCTTATACCAGACTAAGCTATGCTGAAATAATTTTTCTCTAAGCTAAACTTGAATCATTCTCCAGTCACGAGGAAGACTTACGGCTATATCACGTTGAAACACCGGTTCTCGTAAGATCACCAAAGTTAAGCAACGTTAAGCCTGGTCAGTACTTAAATGGGTGACCGCTTGGGAATACCAGGTGCCATAAGCTTTGATGTGTGAGTAATGTCATGAGCAACAGCTCGGAATTTGAAATCGGAGAGCCGTGTTCCAATTCCAGTTGAGTTCGTTATATTCGCTTACATGCAAATACCCCTGGGTAAGATATTAATCCAACTCTTTCCCCCATCTATGGGTTAATTAATAGAACTTTATCAGTAAGTCATTATTATCTCCAATAAAATAAAATCTTATATAATCTAAACTTTTAAAAAATATGTTTCCTGTCTTTAAATAACCTGAAAAAGGTTGATAAACCGTAAAAACAAAACAAAACAAAACAATCCAGTCATGATGTGCAGATGATATAATGGATAGCGGCTCGGAATGAAATATCGGAGGAGCGGAGCGTGTTCGAATTCCAGTCGGGTTTGTTACGCTTACCCATGCGTAAATACTATTGCGATTAACCATCTTGCGATTAACCAGATTGTAAATGGATGACAGGACAGGAAATGGGGAGAAAATAAAACGGCGCTGTTAAGGGATAGGAAGTTGTAGAGAGCCATGAACGCCTACGTCCTGTCTGGACACGGCACATATAAGGCTGACGAGAGCAAATTTTATATAATTATTAATTAATTATTGTTTCTCTGTCAATTTTCAAAGTACATTATAACATGAGGTCGAAGAAATATAGATCGCCATATTTTACAGTTAATTTCATGAATCTTTGATTGGATCTCCTTTTCTGCCTTTGTCGGTGTTCAAGATTGCATTTTAGAATAATATGAATAAATAATCAAACCATATAAAACGTCACTGTATCGGTTTTTCTGCATGACAGATGGTTCGAGATTTAGGTCATAATTGCTGATTGTGTCATGTCCGTTTCTAGGCTAAGACAGACAAGCAGTTTAAAAACTAAACAAGTTATTCAAACAAATGTCCTCATTATTGTTAGCGTCATCACTACATTTTATTCCTGTTTTCTTTAGCTGTCCTCATTGCCTGAAATTCTATGATGAAACATAATCATTGTTCCACAAGTTCAGCAAACTCTGCTTAATTATTGGATTGTCATGGTAGCAAACAGAAAAGAAATAATGCAAGATATACTGATTGGACCAACCCCCTTCACAACAACATGTGTAATGTAAGCAACTTCATTTTGCTTTATATTGAATTACTCTTGAATCCTGACTTAATTAATTAGTTAGTTAATTAAACCCTAAGATAATAAAGAATAAATGTTATATAATATAGTGTGAAGAACTGTTTGCCTTAATGAATTTGAGAACCTGGAGGTGAAGGAATTGGTTAAGATGATGTGATGATCTGAAAGAGGTAAAAAAATTCAGTTCCATCATGGAATTGCAACCGATTTTAAAATTATATTCATTATGTGCAAAAGTTCCCAACACTTTTTAAAATCTTGTAACTGAATGCATCGTTG